GAGAGCTAAAAGACGTAGGTGGCTGGCTAGATAGATAGATAGATGGATAGATAGATAGATAGATAGATAGATAGATAGATAGATAGATAGATAGATAGATAGATAGATAGATAGATAGATAGATAGATAGATAGATAGATAGATAGATAGATAGATAGACAGATAGACTTGCTTGAAGTCGCCGATGTTCAACAAGAAATGGTTCGCATTTAAAACTAAGGCTGGGAACACCAGAGCCGCTAGTGACCATCATGCTGAGTTTTTTCGGCTACTCTAAAAACCCCAGTATCTTTTCATCACGTCTTGTAATTGCAGAAAAGACGCACAAAATGCCTCAAAGTGCACATACGTAAGTTTTTGCCAGTACAGTGCTAAACTTGACGGTGCACATATGGACGAGGATGAACACATACTGTGTACGTTAAGACGAGCTCAACCAACCATGTAATATCTTGCAAGCTTCAGCATAATATGCTGTGCTAATATAAAGGGTTTTCGCCTGTTTCTCAAATGCAGAGTTAAATACTATAGGCGAGAAAGGTGTTCACCAATATTTGTATTCTTACCAAGTTTTTTAGGTGGCTATTACTACGTTTTGCCTTGCGTAGACCTTTGATAGAGAGAGCTTGGTGCAGCCCCATAATGGAGTACATAGTGCTCCGAATTTGCAACCATTTTTCTAAACACGAAAGCTTATTTAAAAGCGGCACCTTGCTGCCTATATTCTAAAGGATAGAAATACCGGATATATTATTGTAAGGTGTACTATCTTTACAGAAGGTTCAATATTCGCACCTGATTATGAAAACCTGCACCTTCGTTCAAAGACACAAAACCAAATCAATGACAACACTTTGGTGAACCACATAGACAAAAATGCATTCGTTAACTGCTCTCTATGTTGTGTGACATAGACCGTGTTTTATGATATTGGGCAAAGATCTCGGTTAAGCGGGCTACCTTTACCACTCATCTCTCCACTGGACATCTTTTTTTTCCATGCCTTGCTTCGTATTCCGATATCCTTTCATTGCGATGCAATGTAAGCAGCTTCCTTATGCCCGAAACAAAAACACAGCAGTATACTCAACTGCTCTCCCAACATTGACCTGCTGGGAGCAAAGCATAGTGACCACAGATGTTTTAAACGCAGATTTTTATCTCCACATTGATTTTGTAGAAACTTATAAGAAAAAAGTGCCCAAAAAGGCTGCTGTTGAAGCTTAGACTAGGGGTTCCCGATGCCGACACAACCAGTTGGCATGGAGGCAAAGTGGAGTGAATGAAAAGAATGAATAACGTGAAAGAAGGAAAGAGAGCTATAGCTCTCTTTCCTTCTTTCTCTCTCTCTCTAGAGAGAGAGAGAAAACTTTATTTGCGCATAACTCGGAGCATTCCAAATGGTCGGGCCCCTATTCCAGGGCTCCGCTGGCCCTAGCCATCATCTCTACCCGTTGGACAAGCCAGCGCTGATCAACAATGGCCGAGCTGGACAGCAGCGCCTCCCATTGTTCCTCTGTGTTGTTCATGTTGTGGTGTTCTTCATTGTGATGCGTACACTCCCACGTGATGAAAGAAGGAAACTTTCAGAAAACAATGTGGGTTATGCGGATGTGCTGAGCCACGCGGCTGATTGAAGAATTACATTGGCTTTTTGCGTAAGGCTGTGCTTTAATTTCTACAAAGACATAGCTTTATTCTTTACGTTCTTGACAATTTCTTTGCGCTAATACAACTTTCATAAGTTCTATATTTTCGTGCATGCCAGCCAACTATCTAAAATTCAACGTTAAGAAGAAAATCAATGAGCGATAAAATGTCATCTTCGGCAGGGTGCTCGTAATACAAAAAGTAAGGGCTGCATGAGTTTCATTACAAATGTAAGAACAGTAATGCGTGGAACGGTAGTACGAGTAAGAGGCGTGCAGTTTTTTAAGCAAATTTCGCGAACAGAGCCTTCCCGTCGAAAAAAAAAAGCACTGTCTTTTATGAACGTAGATCCAGATATCCCAGATTTCGGGCAAGATTTTTATACATTAGCCCAGATGTTTTGACAGCACCCAGTAACAGTTGAGTCTTTTGCTAACAGTTAGGAATTCAACAACCGTGAAATAAAGAGACAAGTGCAGGGATGCCCAAAGTCCCGTCCAAAAGCGGAGAGGCACGGCGAGTGAATGCAACATAAAATTAGGCAGCAGCTAGCCAAGGAATTTGCTCTTTTCTCGTAGCATACAGGTTGATGACTGTTTTCTGTTTTGTTGTTTACGTGAACGTGCCAGTATCCGCAAAACTGATTTGGCATGTACAGAGCTATAATTTAGAGTGCTTTGAGATCTCGATGTGTAAACAACAATGTTCCGTTATCACGAAGCCTTAATTATCAACGCAAAATATCTTGTTGCATTCATTACACTTTTTAACCAGTAAATCCTTTAATCACTTGCATTACTGCCTTGTTTTCTAAAGAAAGATGTTGTCTCAGATTCCTCCGCTTTCTAAAGACCCCTGTCCTTGCCACAGTTATATCTTTGTATGTCAAAAGTGAAACTTGGGCTGATGAAGCCGATGTATCACTTGACAGTCCTAATTGCACTTCGATATGACATTAAAAGAAGAACAGCGTTGATTACATGACCCGATCAAAACAATTTAACTGACTCCCATGTTCTTTGGAATCCTCACAACTTCTTCACGAAATATCTCAAAGCAATTTAAACAGGGCTTCTGCCTTCAGGCAAAGCGAGGTATCACCCCAATGTTTTCAGTTTTCCCAAAATACAAACGTTTTTTTTATTGCACGTGCTACTTCATGAAAATTTCTTGATTCAATTGTTTTACACAGAGCCCGGTAACCTTTTGAGCAGGAAGGCGAAATTGGGGGAAGCCGACAAGGCTGGGAGCCACGTGGGCAAATCATGGAGAAAGGGGGGGGGGGGGGGGGTTGTTTCTACGGGCCACGAAAATAAACTCGGCGAATGGACAATAATGCCCGAAACTACCTAGGTTTTAATTGTGTTTGGACTGAATTCTAGCTAAGTTTGAAAATAAGACCCAATGCCGAACGGAAGGGATGTTTTTTTTTGGCCGGGGGGGGGGGGGGGGGGGGAGTCTGACTACGCTTCAGGCTGCAAAGTTCATGTTAGCGACCAGCGGAAAGAGGCGTGTTTGTGATTGTGATTGTCTTTGTACGGCAGCAGCAGTTATCGTATGCCACTGGCGTCGCCTCACTCATGAGTAACCTAGTGTTGGATAGATGACCGGGGAAGCTCTCTTGGAGGCCAATAATGGTTGCGGAGAATAATACAATAATGAAATTCCGCACATTAACGTTTGATGTAGCCTAAGAAGTTACAAAGACAAATCATCGTTATACATTTGGCTCGAGCGCACAGTTGAGTGATGAATAAGAAAAAGAACAATAAAGGAAATGACGGTATCGCTGATAATTTTATACAACTCTCAATGCATAAATTATCTATGAAAATGACTGTTACGACAAACACACATGAGGTAAAGAAGCAGCGAAAGATTGATAAGTGAAACGTCCTCTACTGAGACTGCTACATATTTCTTTTACCTTTCTCAAGTTTACACTATCGCTTATCTAATACAACGTAAATACAGAAATTAAAGAACTGATATTGAGAGCCGAAAATGGCATTGACTGCTCGCCCAGCCTGCCACACAAAGGTGCGAGCTCGGCTACAGCCCAAAGTGAAAAAAAAATCTCTCGGGTGTTCCTTGGGTCGAGATGTTTTACTGCGGAGTTCTATAGCGTTCGGTCTCGAAAAAAAAAGTGTTTTGAGGGGGAGTCTTCTTTACCGCGACTCCCATATCGGAATTCAATAAATGAAACTTAAGTCATGACAAGTTTCACGATTTTGTCGGTATATGGGTGATATGCTTGTGCAAACAGTTGTAGAGTGGCCTAGCACGATACAAGTGACTTGAAACGCGTCTGAAACATAGGACCACGAAGTTTACAGCATCTTTGTTTCGTTTGGAAATATTGATCACTAAGCACCACACAAGTGGTTCTTTTTTAAGAGCGAAGCTTTATAGGGTGTGCGTCTGTCCTTCCTCCGTTGGTGTATGTAGCCACCAGCGACTCATACCCGTTCTAGAGTGAGTAAGTGCCACAGGGGATGGGAGATGGGAGATGGCGGTATCGGAGTGTTAACTAGATGGACGCACGGACGGACGCCTAGACGGATCGACGAATGGAAGGACGTGCCGACGAATGGACGCATGAACGGACGGTCGCGCGGACGGACGAAGGCAAGAACAAATGAATGGACGGACGGAAGCAGGGACAGGCTGACACGCTTCGCCCCACTCATCATCATTCACTACGTCTGTATAAGGACTGAAAATTTGGCCAGTTGGTGACAGTACTTGTTAACATGTCACTTGCATGCTCAGCGTATATCATTTAACATGTCTTTTGACGTGCTCCCAGACGGACTAAGCGCCTCCTTAGCGGCGTTTCTAATTAAAGCGTCCTATTTGTAATTCTTGTGAGTGTATAAAAAGTGGTTAATGATTTAGGGCCAAACAACGAAACGTTCCTTTCCTCAGTAAGGAAGCCTTCACTTTTATGAGGCCGCCTTATGTCACTCTGAAAGCTTCCTCACTGAGGAGCCCTCGGTAAAGGCTTCCTTGGCGCTTCCTCAGCTTAAGGTTGCTTTGGGGCTACCTTCGTGCGCCCTTAGGTCCACTCCTTGCCCTGAACGAGCGCTTCGCCTCACAGCTAGCCCACGTGATGTTTTCGTTTTCGAGGCAACCCTCTCACCCCACCCCTGTGGGGAGACACGAGCGGCGAGGTGCGTGCACGGTGCCAGGCACGACGGCGCGCAGTAAAACAAGAAATGGCGTCGTGGGCGGACGGGAGTGCGGCTGACTTCAGGGATTTCTTGAACCGCGCTTGTCAATTCGCCTTCGGAGAGGTCTTGTCAATTCGCCTTCGCGATGCGGTCAACCCCATGGAATTATACGATGAAGAAGATTTTTCATTCAGGTTTCGTTTTACCAAGGCGTCTGTCATTGCAATCATGTCGGAACTGCAGTTGGAAAAGAACACGGACCGAAGGGGAACCCCGCTCCCACCGCTGCTGAAGGTGCTCATCACGCTTCGGTTTTACGGCACTGGTGCCATGCAGACAGTGGTTGGCGACCTCGTACGCGTCTCACAGCAGTATGTGTCGCGTTGTGTCTGGGAGATCACCCAGGTCATATGTTTGCGGCTGTTTCCAAAATATGTGCGACTCCCCGATGCAGCAGACGCGAATGCTGTGATGGCCCGCTTCTACGCAATTGGCCTGTTTCCAGGTGTAACGGGGTGTATAGACTGCACGCACGTCCCGATTGTGAGCCCTGGAGGTGAGAACGCCGAGGTCTTCCGCAACCGCAAGGGATACTTCTCACTTAATGTGCAGGTAAAGTGACGCCTTCGTCTCTTTTTTTTTTTCTTAACCTGTTTGATGTGTGTAACTTTTCCGACAGCGTTGTATAGACGCACGTTTTCAATGCTGTGCCGTTGCTGTAGAAATGGGGTTACTTTTGTTGCACATGCCCATGGTGAATACACACCATTCATGTACCACTGTCCATTGCCAATTTTTCTTTTACATATGAAACGTACAGCTTCAGAAAGGTACTCCATTGAATGTCACTTTCTTTTAATCGCCATTTTTAAAGTAGCTTAGCTGGCGTTTGAACATGGTAATGTGATAATCAGTAATGTCGCACCCATGACTGTGTTGTGTATCAGTAACTTAAAATAAATTTCAGTAAATATGCACCATCAATGCACTGAACTAAAGTGCATAACTATCATGTAGGTTGATAAAACCAAGGGTTGTGAAGGCCTGTTGTATTAGCCACTTCTTACCGGGCACAGTGTGCTTAACAGTTGCATGAGGGTTTGTGGTGGGGAAGTGCACATTTTTAGAATTTTCCAAGTTACACACATTGAAACATGGCTGTTGCTTTTGTGTGAAAATATTTCTAAGAAATGCACAATACTTGATTCGCAGGCTATCACTGGTCCCGAGCTCCAATTCTTTGACGTAGTTGCCAGTTGGCCTGGATCTGTGCATGACAGCAGAATATTCACCAACAGCAGAGTGATGGCTCTCTACGAACAGAAGGCTGTACCTGGCGTTCTCCTTGGTGACCAGGGGTATGCGTGCCTACCATTCCTCATGACACCACTGAAGAATCCTCAAACAAGCGCAGAAAAGAGGTAACAGCACATGAACCTCAGCATGGAAATTATAATAGGTGCGCTACTTGGCACAATAGTACTTGAAGCACTAAAATTGCAGTGTCCCTTATGAAAACTAGAATAAAAACCTGCCGTTTATAAGATAAATGTCAAAACTTCTTGGAGCAAATGAAGTACCTGCAACTGTAAAGCCCACTGTAAAAACAAAGAGAAAAGGTATTCCTAGACGCAAACCACTTAAATTTTAAATTTGCTCCCATACAAGCATACACATGCTTTAGAGCAGTCTCTGAACAGGTTTACTGTCTGCTGTCCCACAGCAAATTCTTTGTTATCTCGAAAAGCATACCCATGATGTGCACGTGCCAATAACACAGGTTGTATCAAAACACATTTAAAATGGAACACGCAAGTTATCTTCAAAAACAAAACTGTTTCTTCCTAATAATTGTGATGATGTATCAGTGGCTGTATCTTGACATGTTCACAAATGCTTTTGCACATAGCGCTTGCTGCTCATGCATGATTTGCACATTCTCTCGTTTTGTGCAGGTACAACAGAGCCAAATAAAAACGAGGAACAGTGGGGAGCATACATTGGAGTGTGGAAAAGGCGCTTCGCATGCCTGCGGGTAAAGCTGCTGACGGACACTGATCGGTCTGCAGCTATCATAACAGCATGTGCAGCGCTCCACAACATTGCCTGTTTGCGTAGGGACCCATGTCCACTCTCCGATGAAGCACACCCCGACGTTAATTTACCCGACAACCCCAGCCAAGGAGATCCCGACACTGTTGCTGGTGCACAAGTACGCAGCTGCTACATCCGCCGGTGTTTTTCCTCTGGGAACGAACACACAGGTCCAGTGCAAACCTGAAGTAAGTGTCTACATTCAGGCGCTGTTTCAAAAGTTATGTTTCTGCTCTACGTCGTCTCTCTTCAGTCTGGTTGACTTTAAAGAGTGCTGCATGCATTTATCCAAGCAGTGTTACTTGCACCGCTGTGGTGTTTCAGTAAATGAAAAATGTACATGACACAGCTCATATCTTCAAATGACTTTATGAAAACTTCAAAACATCAGCTGAACAGGCACATGTACATTCAGACACTACACTTGGTGACGTTTAAATATAACATTTGAGACATCTGGTGTGTTATCTCCAAAACAACTTGAAGAGAACTGATGATTTAACAACAGCAAGAAATATACTTATGCTTGCTGTTGCATGTTAATGTGACAAGTTTCGAAAACATGCTCTCAGATATTCCTTTATTCAGAGTCGGCTGCCTGCAGCTGTTTTCTTAGGAGCGCCTGCTTCAGTTTCTGTACTTCTTCTTTTTTAAGATCCGAAGCTTGATTTTGTGCTGGATGTTGCAATTTTTTTTTTGCTCCTTCAAGGCGCTGATTTTGATCTCATGCTCTTCTCTCATACACTCCATTCTTTGATTGTGCTCAATTTGTTTATGTTTTTATCTGCTTTTATAGCATCAAGGCGAGCCTCGAGTTCTACGTCGAGTGTGTGCTGCAACAGAGACAGCCTGCCTCCGCGGACATTCCGCACACTTGACCCAGCTGTTGGTGCTTCACTTTGTGCACCTGGCTGAGCAGCTTCCTCTTGGCTCATGTCCGCATCGACTTTGGGATCGTCCAAGCATAAGCTATCTTCACCAACCACGGATGGTGTGTGAGAGCTCTGCAGCATTGACTGCATAGCTGCTCTGTCCGGTTTGGCTGAGTTCTTCTGTTTGGTCTGCAATAAAAGTTGTTTCATCCATGAAAGACAAGTGAAGAAATGTGAGGAAGCACCTTATGAAACAAATACCAGTATTACCAATATATACCAATATATGTATACTTTGAAATGACAATAAACACCATTACCTGCATGCACTGACAACAGCTCACTTATGTATACGATACTGGTGGGGCAGCATGCACAGCACGTGAAACATATTTCTATGCATGAAAGAAAAATTCTAGCGTGATTGGCACAGGCGCTCACCCAAATAATTGAAACAGAGCAATCTACCAGAATGTCATATTTCATTTGTGCATTTCTGCACTGTTAGTAGTTACACAGAAAAGCATAGAGGTTGGCCTCAAGGTTGATCATGCATGTGTACTACTCTGCAATGGAAAAAAAGGAAAGATCGAACAGGGCATTACAGGGTGGCAGTGCAGATAAATCGGACAGGAATCTGCATGCTTTGCCACATCACGACAGCGTGTAAACACAACCGCTTTTCGTGACCTTTGGTGTGCTAGAAACGCCCACGTTGCCTGCAGAGGTTTCTACCTCCGTGGCCAGCGCTATCGAGTTCGTAGAAGGCGGCATACCTTCATCACTGTCAGCTGGTCCATTTTCACAGATCAGCCCGTTCAGAATTTCCGACGCGCTTTGGGGTGCTGGCGTGGCAGCGGCCGGTCGCTGTCGAAAGGATTTGGCACCCGCGTGGTCAGGTGCGGAACGATGCCTTCGATCTGCGCGAGTCTTTCATCCATAGGCGGTGGTGGGGGCCCGCCTCCTGCAAATACCTCAAAACTCGTAGCAGCGGCGACCTTTTTACAAAGAAGGGAAACATACCTGTAGTGAGGACGTCACGGATTTGCTTCGCTTTCTCCCGCTTCCCACCTTTGCTTCATGTTGTCCCACAGCTTCTTTAGCTGCTTGACGTCCCGAGGGCGCACAAGGGCCTGCAGTTGAAGTCCGTGCACAGTTTTTCCCATGCCTTGGCTTTTGCATTGATTGACATTGCGTCCGTACGCTTATTTTCGATGACGGCCTTGTATTTGAGCACAAGGTCCTGGACGAGATCTTTCTCATCTTCGGAAAAGGGGGTTTTGCAGGCATGTCTGTACCGTGAAGCGCGTTAATACTGACTGCGTTATGGCCACTATGACAGCGTTTAAAGAGGCGGGCGTTTCAGTGTTGCTAGAATGCACCACGTTTTGCGCTCGACTACGGTGGCTTTTCACATTCAGTAATCGTAGTTGGAAGAAAGCGTACACGCGTCTCTATATTAACACTTCAATTTGGAAGTGATGTGGTGACCCAACTCTTTTTACAGTATAAACGCTTGTGAGCAAAGCTTATATTCGATAATCTCGAACGCAGGAGCGCGGCAACCATTCCTCCCGCGAGGACGGGTTAAGGGAGCTTTCAGAGTACGCTTGCTTCCTCCGTCGGTACTTGGTTGTAAGGAAGCCTCACGTAAGGAGGGACGCGGTCAAAGGAAAGGACGTTTCGTTGTTTGGGCCGTAGAGCACTTGGCACTCTACTATGGGAGAGCATAAAGCCGTCTCATTGCAAAGAACTCTCTTCTTTAGAAAAAAATTTATTTACAGCATGTACAGAACACAAAGGCTTCATACCATTCCAGTAACAGGGCATATACACCTCGGCACATCTATATTTCACGACTAACATCACTACGTTACAGTGAAGACATTTGCTCTAATATACATGACAATGTTGGCATATATGTACACAAGAACTCAATGCAATATCATGATACAATGGTATAACGATACAATAGATGCAATGAAACACGATATGTAACAAATGAAATCATATAAAACAACTCAACGGGCGCTGCTTAGCACCAAGTCGGTTGAAAAATGAGTTGTATCCTTTCGTGTTCCACCTTGACGAAAGGGCACGACCATTGCCGCAGAAACTCTTGCTCCCCGAGGGAAAAGCTCCTCGTAGAGGAACGCGAGGATCTCTCGTCATTCTCCCAGTATCGGCCACAAAGCACGCCGGCGGCAATTGGCAGCTACGGCCTCACATCGGTTTCTTCAAAGGCTGAACAGCCCCGCAACTATTAACAGAGCGGAGAAGCGGCTACGCGGAAATCGGCCATTGGACACGAAAGTTCGCACACCTGTCCCCGAAAACCAGCATTAACCACACGCCAAAAAATGCGGGAAACCACACATTCAAACGTCGCATGTCGATTGGTCTCTAGCATGACGCAGTTAGGGCAAGTGGAAGTGCGAACCACCTGCCATCGCTGCAACCGATCTCGCGTGGGGAGCGAGCCCCGCCCAACCTCCAGACAATGTCTCTGAGATGCCCTGGAACACTGCGGCAGTTATTGGTTTCCAAGCGCGGTTCATTACAGATTGACGATGCTGGGGCACCAAGGGTCGTAGAAGGGCGGCAATTGTGTCCACCACTTTAGTATCGGCCACCTCTACCTCTGGGCACGTAGCTTCAAAATGTCGGTGAAATGCCAGAAGGGCTCGATACAAAGATTGTAATTCAGTTGATTGGGGACCTTGGTTTATTTGGCTATCCGGCAAGAAGACACGTAGTGATGGCCCCAGATGGTAGCGAGCCAGTGTCTGAGAGGGCATGCCATCATTGCTTAGTATTCGCAATAGAGTGCGGAGGCACAATGTAGAAGCCGTGACGGAAACGTCGGGGAATGCAAAACCGCCTTGATCTCGCGGTTGAGCTAACGCTGGGCGCGATAACAATCCTGTGCCACCAGACCAAAGAAATGAACTGATGCAGCTTTGCACTTTCCTGCAGACGTGGAGCGGTTGTTTAACAGAATGGCAAAGGTACCAAAATTTTCCTAGGTACACCGTTTGAGTTAAGTATCGGCGTTCCAAGAGGGGGAATTCGAAGTACCTGGCTGCTTTGATATCACTTAGAAGAGTTTGTACAACGGATGACCTCCCTTACCATTTAGCATAGCAGCTACGTGCGAAAAATCACTCAATGTAAATGTGTTAACCAAGCGCATTGCACGTTCTTCTAATCCTCCATGCCTGTTCAAGAACTTTCGCATAAGTGTCATGGCCTCCTGTGCCTTCTTGGTAATACACTGAATAGTTATATTATTGAATGCATTTGCTTCAACTACCAAACGTGACTTTTTTTACCAATGACCCATCGCTAGTGCGAACTGGGATGCAAGTCTCAACTTCTGGTACCCAATTTTAGGGCCTACAACCTGATTTCCTGGATTTAATGATTAACAACTCCGACTTTTTAGCGAAGCACTTGTGTCCCATAAAAGCCAAACAGTTTTCCGAAAGCATTACCACCTCCTGCAGCTTAGCCTCAAGCTATTCATCACTACCACTGACAGTCCATTCCATGACGTCATTCGCGTAAATAGCCAATACCCATGATAGTGTCGAATACGTAAGCTAGCTTTGTCATAGCCAGATTGAACAACATCGGTGAAAGTATGGATCCTTGTGGCGTACCACGACAACACAATTTAAAGACTTCGGACTTGATCTCCCCCAACCTAAGAGTTGTACTTCCATCCACAAGCAAAGCCTTAACAAACTAGAGAAGCCGTTACCCCAGACTCAAATATTACAGCCCCTGTAGAACTAAGGAGTGTCGTTGATTGTCGAAAGCTTTTCCCACATCAAGACCAAATTCTAATGCATTCAAATAGCTGAAATGCCTGATGCTAAATTCTGAGCATAGCATCATGAGTCGAAAGTGTAGGTTCTTAGGCGAAAAGCAGTTAACGCTAGGCGATGTGAACAACAGTCGTTTAGTGTATTGTAATC